GCAGCTGGTACAAAGGAAGCTGCACCATTCAATATAGGTGGATCATCACCAGAATCACTCTCTGGCTCTGTTGGAAACTTCACATGTGAGAATACAGAAAACACTCGATCGAAGAAGAGAAGCAGATCATCGAACAATGGAGCTAGTAGAGAATCATCATTGTTAAACCATGTTGAGGCAGAGAGACAGAGGAGGGAGAAGCTTAACCATCGATTCTATCTCCTCCGGTCTGTTGTTCCCAATGTCTCCAAAATGGACAGGTCCTCTTTACTTGCTGATGCTGTGGCATACATCAATCAGCTCAAAGCAAAAGTTGAGGAATTGGAGCTCAAAACACAAGCACAACCTCAAAATCCTCAAAGGGTTAGTGTTAATAATCTTGACAATCAGTGCAGCCAGAGCACCAACTCCATAGTTGATCATCATTCAAGTTATAATAATACAAAAGTTGTGCCAGTGGAAGTGGATGTGAAGATCATGGGCTCAGAAGCCATAATACGAGTTCAGTGTCCGGATCAAGACTACCCGTATGCTCGATTGATGAACGCCCTCAAAGGACTAGGCTTACAAGTTTATCATGCAAGCATATCTAGTGTGAAAGAGTTGATGATTCAAGATGTTGTGGCCAGAATGCCTTATGGGTTCACCAGTGAGGAGGCCATGAGAATTGGTATTATAAAAAGATGGCACAACTAGAAAATAGCTTCCATAGGTAATGATGATTTTCCATTCTTGTTTAGTAGTCTTTGTTGTAATAGATGTACACATGACCGTATTACCGTAGTAATCACTCGTTGTAATAACTCAAAATGGGTGTAAGTCAATAATCAAGCGAGACTTGTTTTCCAATGTTTATTTTTTCATATCTCTGCAACCCAAACAAATCAATTTACAAGGACCTAAAAGTCATCAATTAGGTTAGTTGGGGGTTTTCACTCCAAATAATCATTTGATGAAGAATCTGTGGATGTTATCATCAACTTTGAGATATTGAAGAATCAAAAGTTGATATAGATCTGTGGTCCCAATCTGATATGGATCCAAAAAACAAAAAGTTGAATTAGAATCTAAAGTTAATCTCATTATTTCCCTATACTATATGTAAGATAATGATTTGCAGACCAATAAATATCACATATTATTATGATTTGAATTGTTTACTTGAGTTCTTTATTTGTATGTGAAACTGGCTTTGGTGGTATCATGATTCAAGTTTCTGTATTGACACACTGCTGGCACCAAATCATTGTCTTGTTTATATAGTATAGTAGTAGGATATAGCCATTCAAACCAAAGCCAATAAAATTCAAACCTAACAAGAACTATTTGAATCCAATCGAACGTACAGAGCCATATTGGGAAAGTTTCTATCTTTGCAATAGTTAATAAGGTAACCTACCTACACTATGTACTGAAATTCTTTAAATTCAATTCTTCTCTGTGTTTACGAACACAAGTTATGAAATCTGTAATTCAATATCCACAAATTCAAAACTTAGATAAACTAAAAAAGTAGTTGATCCGTTTTCAATTTATTAATTCCCTTATTCCTAAATTCTTCGTTTCATTACTTCCCTAATTCCTTGTAAGTACTGCCTGCTCCCAGGCATATGATGGAGAAAAACTGAAGTAACTTTTTGGTTTTTTTTGTCAAAGAAGTAAAGTTGTGAGTTGTGTTGTGACCAGGCTCTGTAAAATTGTACCTTTGCATTGCTGACAACAAGCTTGTTGTATCATGTATGTGCTGGCAAATTGTTCTTGAGGCAGGCGAATCATGTATGTGCTGGCAAATCAAGTACAAAAATGCCAGTGGGCTGAAAAGTTGGCATGGAGAGAATGAGGGTTTAATTGTACTTTTGATATATAAGGTTTACTTATTCTTTTATCATTTTAAATTTATGGGATTATTTTCACTTTTATTTAGGGATTGAGGATTTTGATTTGGGATATCTTAGTTGTAGAAACATATTAATAGACAAATATAGTTGATATTTTTTTTAATCGCATATCAATCAAGAAGTTTATTGATCATGTGCGCAGGGTGTGGCGACATGTGGACTGTGTTAGTTGATGTATTATAGAATTATTTCATGAAAAATTATGCTTGTCGGATGTAGTGAGTGGGAACCCGTAGAGATCTCTCACACCTCGATCACATACAATAAACCACATGTGCATAGGGTGTTGTTGCCCGCATCGTCCATAACTTGCTGATTACTCAATGAATTGCACCGAAGTTATCTCCAACTTAACAACTAGGTTCAATATACAACGTTCGATTGGTACCGATGTGGGGTTTAAAATATCGCAAAAGTTCTCGATACAATTTAAAGTAAACTATCACTTAATTATATACTTTTTAATTAATTCACATCTTCTATTTATATACAATGCCTTAGCCAAGATTAGAGGTGTCAAATGAGCCGTGTTGGGTAGGCCTGGTATGTTTAAAGTCAGCCCATTTAATAAATAGATCATGTCGGGCTTGTTTATTTATAAAAATCATCAATCCCCACCCGAGCCTATACTCGGTTCGTGTTCGTGCCTGGCCACTAAACGTGCCGAGATGGACCCACGTCAAATTTGATTTATGTATTGCTTTTAAAAATAAATTAAAAATTATAACTTCATTTAAATATTTTTTATATATATATACTAACAAGATTTATTATTTATTGAAAAAAGTGGCTAATAATTTTCTTTAAAGTACATTTAAATAGAAAATGACTAGATTATTGTTTCGATTTTAAAACTTGAAACTTGAAAAACAAAATCATTATTTTATATAGAAAGAAAACATTAAATTTTAACACACATTATTAGAGAAAAGAAATAGACTTGAATTTAAGATATAAATGTAATAATATTATGTATTATTTTTCTCTAAAACAAATATAATTTAATAAATGAACTTTAAACGGGCCAGTCCATTGGGTTTCGGGCCAGCACAGCCCTCGACATGCCACAGACTGACCCGGCCCTTTGGGACTAATTACCTTGTCCCAGCACAACCCAAAGATACAAACAGTACAATACCGAGCCTTGTTTAAGAGGGCCGTGCTCGTGTCGTGCCGAGCCTATCCAGTCCGTTTGACACCTCTAGCCAAGATGCACGTAACAATGGCTTGCCTATCTTGGGTTTCTCTCATATATGGTATATCCAGAATTTGCATACGGAAGCCATTGCCCAATCGCATGCCACCAACCATAAGGCTGTTTGGAACAATTTTAGGACCATTGGGCTAATACATGTGCTGGGCCAGGCTTCTAGGTCTAGCCTTCTAGGTTTTGGTAGAATAGTATTCCTACCAGGTCCTACTAGTTAGGCCTCAAGTCTGAAGCACCCTGTAATTTATATGACCCCACCATTCCACCGACTTCATCCCAATGGGCCCAGCCCAATCCATCCCTTTTTCCTCCCTTAAACTCGCTGCCTTTGCGTACTTCACAAGTTCGGTTTGCGATTTTCAATTTCTGGTTTGGGGGATTTACATTTTGACGAATTTTGACGAAGTCTTCTAAGAGAGAGATCCCCCAGAGTATACTAGACTTTGATTGGCTTTTCAAAAGTTGATGGAAATTCCATACAAATTTCATAGGGTAATATAGACTTTTACAAAATTCAGTAGAGCTAACTGGAGGACTTTTGCAAAAAATTAAACTTTTGTAGAATTGAAACTTGAGAGTTGGGAATACCTAATTCATCCAATAGAGTACGTTGCGCGTTGATTAAGACGATAAATATTGATTTGACAGAACTCATTTCGATTGTTTTATCTATTAATATTCGCTTCATCTATAATAAAAATTATACTAAAAAATTTTAATGGGTCCAACCATTATCAATCAATACCAACTCGTCACAATCCAAAATGGAAAATTTTCATATGAATTAGTTTCGTTTGCAATTTTGCCAAGTCCACTACTTTCCTCAAATGTTTTGAAATAGAAAAAGCAAAGAGAAGAGGAGAGTGCGGTTGCTCGTCACATTCACACGTAGTTCCATTGTGGTCCCAGGTGGTCCTCCCTCTTTGCAGCTGAAAAAAAGTTTGAAACAAAACCACATGAAATATCAAAAGAGGGAAAAATAATCCTGACATTACACCCACTCACAAGCAGAGCCACGTGACAAACCGTGATGTGTTGAGTTCTGGCGGCATGTGGCATCACCCCATTAGCCCATCTCTTCTATCAATCGTACGGAAAATTGCCTTGTCATTTTTTTTGCTAGGAGATCTCAACCATTGTACGGACAAGTCATTATTTACAGAATTTTTTTACTGTGCCCATCCGATGCCCCAAATTTTACCTGCAACTTTGGGGTTATATCGACTGTCTGAATTTAACTGGCAACCGACAGGAATGTTCGCTGTTTTAGCTTTCAAGCGCCTCGCTGCCCGCTCAAACAGTCACCGGCCACAGAGGGTTGTCAGTCACTTTACACACGTGTCACCAAAAGACTTGATAGCACAGAGTTTGTGTGCCTCCAATAAAGGTTTTTAATATATTTATTTTTACCATTGGGTGGAGGAATAGTAAGTGGCTTCGCATGTGTAAGCTAAGCTCAGCCTTAGGCATTTATTCTCTTGTTTTTTTTCTTTATGGGGAGGTGTCCATTAATTGCCAAAAAAAGAAAGGGGTTGTAGATTGGGTTGATGTCCTCCTTTCCTTTTTCATTTTATTCCATCTTTTTATATTACCTCAAATATACCTCATAGGGTTCTCTCTCTTGTAGACTTTGAAACCTAAAAAGGGAAAGAAGCAAGTAGGGCAAATCCATCAATTTTTTGTTGATCTTCCTCCTCCCCCTTCTTCATCTCTCTCCTCAAATTTTCCCCTAGGGTTTCTGGGATTTCTCCGTTTCACATATATCTATCTTGGATTTTGGTCTGCCCCCTTTCTATTTTTGGAAACCTTTCTTCATCCTTTTTTCTTTTCTTTTCTGGGTTTTGGAAACCATTTGATTTTCTGGGGCTTTTCTTTGTTTGGAAGCGGAGAATATGGTTAGGGGGAAGACTCAGATGAAGCGCATAGAGAATGCAGCGAGCAGACAAGTGACCTTCTCCAAGAGAAGGAATGGGCTGCTGAAGAAAGCCTTTGAGCTCTCAGTTCTATGTGATGCTGAAGTTGCACTTATTATTTTTTCCACAAGAGGGAAGCTCTATGAGTTTTCGAGCTCAAGGTACGTTTGAGAAAATGAAAAGAAAACAAGGAACAATTATATATAATTTTAGATTCATCTTCAGATGGTTTTCTTCTTCATTTAATTAAATTTGAGCTCAACTCTTTAATGATTTAATAAAAGCTGCTCTCACTATTTGCATAGTACAGACACCAGTCAATAGATATAGGCCAAGTACCAACAGTTTCTCAGGCTTTGTACATGTCTATGGGGTATCTTTATATAGTATGTTTCTGGATCAAATCTTTTGGTGTAGATTTTGTTGCGTTGGATTGTGTTTTGGTTGAAAGCTTCTGGGTTTTAATTGGGTGTTTTTTTAGACAGAGAAATAAGAGAGAGAGAGATCAGAAAGAGACTTCTAACAACCATTTCGGTTAGGTTTATTGAGCAGGAACTATATAAGCTAGATCTCTTTCTTTACCGTATGATCTAAAGGTTGAGATAGCAGAGACTGAACTACCTGCACCAAGCGTTTTTTAAGTCGACTATAGTAAGTTGGCCTGCCAATTATATGACTCTTTATTTCTATTGATCTAATAAAATTCTATCGCTTCTTTTTATAATCAATTTTATTACCTCTAAGTCATATATATACTGATGTAACTAAGGTTAAATAACTACTGATAAACATGGAATCTTTTTTTTTTTTCTTTCCCCACTGTATCTGAGTGGCCTTTTGAGGAAGAGGTTGTATCCAACCTTAATTTCCTTTCATGGAAAAAAGAAAAAGAAAAAAAAAAGAAAGTCAGTGTAAATTAGCTTTAGTTTCTGGCCTCTCCATTTTAATATGTGTTATTAGGTACTTAAATATATGGGCCTCTTTCCAAGGTCTCCACTATTTATGTATGTAGCTATTTGATAAAGTAAGCTTAACAATCTTGTTATAAGTGTAGGATTTGATTGATTTGTGGCCAAATGGTTTCTTTAATTCTCATAATTAAGGAGATGGATGCTCAATCAAATAAAGCTTAATAGAGGGACCGCTAAGTATATCATTTATTGTGTTTGCTTGATGATATTTCTTTTTCGACCCCGAAGAAAAAAAGATCATATTTCTTTGTTTCATTTTCACATGACTTTTTTTTTTTTTCCACAATATCTTCAGATCAAAATGAGTACAAGATGCTATTTGGTCAATAAAATTAAGATCGTGATTCGAAAGTGATCAAAATTTCACAACAAAAAGAGAAAGAAGAAGAAAGGTCGATCAAGATTCGAATGATAAAATGTAAAATGTAAGCTCACGCTTGGTGTAGAACAATCGTTCTACCTGAGCTAAAACTTTCTTTCGCACAACTAGTTTGATCACCAAACGCAAACGGGTTGTTACAACTCAGACAGCAACTGTAATAACTATAAAGTCCATCTCCTTTTAGGTGGTTACACTTGTCAGGATCTGGAGGCTCTCTCTTCACATCTGATGCTTTATATCAGATCATGATCTTATGGGAAAAGGCTAAAAACTTCATTCATGCGTAATTCATAAATGGTTTTTTCTATTGCTTCATGCATGCATTCGATATTTTCGCTGCGTGTGTGGTGCTTGTCAAATCTTCAGTTTTAGTGGTATTTCTTATGTATTGTTGTGGTTGGAGACGCTTCAGTATCGGCAACACACTAGACCGTTATCAAAAGAGAGTGAAGGATCAAGGCCTTGGCAGTAAAGCAGTTCAAGTTGATATGGAGGTAAGCCAGCTGCCATAATTCTCACATTGCTTTTATCAAACCTTTCAGAAAATTTTGAAGTATAAGTTGAAGGTATCATTCCAGTATCATCCCATACAATCAATTGGTCACTCAATGGAATCTAAAACAAAGAGGATATTAAACCGGTGGGAATTGTGTTTATGGTTGCTTCTTTCGTTCATAAGATAATTATATTTGGATAAATTATCAGATGGTTGAGAGCATCTCCAATCATGCTCCTTATTTTCAAATTAAATTTTATCTAAAATGACTAGATAGTTACTTTAAGAGCTCTGTATAAAGTTTCGACTCCAACCATGCTCTTTGTGTCTATGTTTCTTTTGTTGAAAGAGAAGATATATATTAAACTAAAATTGAATTTCATTAGGCTTCAAACAGGAGTCACTAGGAATAAAAATATTGGTTTAAAATAATATTTTGAATGAAAATTACTAATGACATGGAGCAACTACTTTCTCTGTCCTTAGATTTAGGAGCTCCTAAAGAAGTTAGGAGTTGGATAGGGGGAAAGGGTTAAAGGTGAGTATTTTTTAACTTCTCTCCAAATTTGAACTTAGAAGCTTTTTAGGAAACCCATTAAAGATACTCTAGAAGTTAACTATCTATTATTTGACTAAACGTGCATGATTCTAATTCACAGTTCAACAACATAAGTTTCTCTGCTAAGATTTTTTATTTTTTAGAGGAAGCGATGAATCTACTGAGAGAATATTAAACATATGTGAGTGTGTGGCGTTTCACTAGTCTGTCCGTCAATATGACCTACATTGCCTCGCCATACAATCAATGGAAGACAATAATTAATGAAATTTACATGTCTATGATATACAAATTTAAATATATAATATGTTGACATAAACATAAATCTACAAATTGTTTCCGGATGAATACATACAAGAGCGGATATTCGTAGTTAAATATATATGCTTATATTGCAAGACTGTGAATATGAATTTTGCTTCAATGATTCATTCTCGCAGTTCAGCTAACGCATTGGAAGAATAATATTTCCTTATATATTTATGTTTGGAATATATTCTCTTATCAAAAGCATTCTCTTTTAAAGAAATACACGATAATCTTGTTACTGAGTTTTTGGTAATTATTGGATTTGCATGCAGCATGGGAAGGATGACACTTCTAGCATGGCGAAGAAGATTGATTTTATTGAAGCTTCTAAACAGTTAATTCAATGCTCAACTTGAAATTTGTATTCTTAAGTTTATTCTAGTTTTATACACAGTGGCGGAGCCACTCCTAGGCCTGGAGTGGCCCTGGCCCCCCCATATTTTTACCACTCTTCGATTATATTATATATAATATATAGAATTTGTAATAAATAACTTAGAATTTAAGTTAAAATGTTCTCTAAAACAAATTAAATATGACTTAATTAGAAATATTTAGCTCTAAACATGTAAGTATTGAATATTTAAGTGTTTTATATACTTATATTTTCTATTTCGGCCCCCTAACTTTACAATTTTAGCTCCGCCCCTGTATAATATATATATATATATATATATATATTGGCGAAAGCAGCTTATTCTAGTTTTGTATACTGCAATCAGAGTTTCGTTTTGGTCCGAGGTTTAAATATTAGTATGTAAAATATCCATATAATTTAATGCATATGGTGTAGGAAGCTCTTAGGTAATTGTTTGGAATCATGTTCGATAGAGGAACTGCAGCAGACAGAGAACCAATTGGAGCGAAGCTTAAGCAAAATTAGGGCTAGAAAGGTACATTTTTTTAATCATATGAAGGCTCATGCATTCTTTTTCATTCTTTTGGTCTGCACATAATTGGTTTTCTTTATGTATTGCATACAATTTGCAGCAAAGATAGCATTAATTGTGTGAATATTACTTTGTGTGGATCTCTACTGTGGACCTCCTCTTGCCTAATTTGGGAGAAAGACTTATATGAAACGGGAATAACACTTTTGCTATCTCTGGTCAATAATGCTGTGATGCGTGATATTGGGAATAGCAGCAACTAAGTTTTTCTCCTCCTTTGGGTGGTTTGTTAACAAATATCTCACTCTTTTAATTGACACATGGTGGTTATGACATTGATATCACATTGGCGAATCAAATCCAAAATTTATAACTGTTAAGTGGAGAAACTAAATAGTTATAATATATGGATGTGAATGTTGTAGTGTAAGACAACAAACCATGTGACAACTTAAGGATGCTTACATTGCTAGACTGTGAATTTTGATCGCATACATTGAGGCAAAAACGAACTTAATTAGTGGTCCAAATTTATAGTATGATAGCAAAACATGCTTATGGTCCTAAAATGTTACATATGTGTGTGTAGTATGTACTTTGATTCCTGACCATAAGCTAATGCACTTTGTTTTGCCTATTATCAGACTCAGTTATTGAGGGAGCAGATAGAGAACCTGAAGGAAGAGGTAATTAAATATAAGCGCTGTATTAGAACTTATAAGTATTCTTTTTATCAGAAAGGGCTGATATAGATTAATGCCATTTTCTTAATTTTGACATGATCAGGAGAAAAACCTATTTGAACAAAATGCTAAGCTACGGGAAAAGGTAATCAAATCTTCTTTCTATAAACAACTTTCAACTTCAACATGGTATACACACCCTATGTAATTCTTTGCCGCATTCAATCTGGGTTCATGATGATCTCCAATACAGCATAAGTGATTAAATGGATATATATATATATATATATATATATATTATGACAAGTAACGATGTCTTGTCAAACTTTTGTTGTTGAGCTGTGAATCTGAATCATACATGCACTGAAGTAAGAATTTAACGTGATCAATAATTCTAATTGAAATGAATCATATTCACAATTTGACAACATAAATACCAGAAAGTCTAAGAGAGAACCTTTCTCGATGCATAAACTGATCATAAATTACCAAAATAAGCCAATTGATTTACTTACTAATTGTATGACGGATTGATCCAGTGTGGCATGCAACCCCTTGGTCCTCCAAGCGCAAGAAAAGATGAAGAGAATTGTGCAGTACGCCAGCCCCGGACACCAGATATGGAGGATGTGGAGACTGACTTGGTGATTGGGCCACCTGAAAGACGAAGAAGTAGCCAAAACCCATAGGATCATCTCAATACCAGTATTGGTGATAATAAAAGTTTACAGCTTCAAAAACCTGCAACTGCAGCTGCAAATCTTCCCGATGGTCGCACAAGATTTTGGTGTGCACCTGAAATAATTGTGAAGCTAAACAGTTCAATATATAATGTATATATCTTAATATTTAAAGCTAAATGCAGAATAAAGTTAAATGTGTGATTATTACTTTTCTTGAAGTTCTGCTTGTAGTTAAATTGGAACAACATATGACTCTGATTGTATTTCATGGAAGTTAAATTGATCTTCTATAAAGTTAATTTTTATTCCTAGCATTGGATCAGTGCATGTATATATAGGCTTTTAGTAATTATTATTCTTTGTCTAATGTATTCGCGTTCTCTTGGTTAATGCGTTAAATGCATATCGATCGAGTATGGTTGGAGTTGAGATATCTTAGAAAGAAATTGACTCTTTCTTGAAAAATTCCCTTGAAAAGTAGTAGATCAGCTTCACGCGTGGCATCTGAAATTCCAGAACATGGTATAAAATGTCATTTTGGAGAAAAAGTTCACCGCAACAAAAAGGCTATCATGTCTATATGCTTTCATGAATACAAGACAAGGAGCTTCTGCCATTGGTGGTAAAGGGTGTGAAAACCTGTGTTTCTGAACTTCCCATCCCAGATTGACAAATCGGACCCTTCTGATAGTTATTGAAACTGGGTAATTAGATGTTCTACTTATAATTCTAAACAAACAGAATAGTATCTGTAAGGAGTGGGTGATTTGGACGAGTAATGGAAGCGCCGGCAGCTTACCAAACGCAAGGACTTCTGGTGTATGGTTATTGAAACGTTCCCAACTCATAGGAGTGGGTGATTTGGACGAGTAATGGAAGCGCCGGCAGCTTACCAAACGTAAGGACTTCTGGTGTATGGTTCTTGAAACTTGGTAATTAGATGTCCCACTTATAATTAGAGGAAAATAAAAAGCACTTGCAATCTAGTTACAAATTATAAACACTGAAATAACAGAAAAAATATATCAGTTTTGGTCGGCAACTCTTTTGTTTTTATTTGGACTAACATGTATCCAAGTCCTGATGAGTGAACAGAAAGCCTCCAACGCGTAGAATACAAGAAAGAAGCATTCGATACACAAAGACTAAATTATGAAAACGACAACGGATGACTAGTCACACTCCTAAACTAACACTAACACAACAAGATTTATTGGCAAGTTAAGATTACACGTCTTCAAATAGGACCTTGAAAAATTAAATAAATACTATTCTTTAATAGAAAATAATGGTTGCCTTAAAAATATATTAACATTCTCGAGATTTTTTGGGTTCAAAAGAAAGCAATTTTCCTTCCATTTTTTTTACCACTCACTGGTCGCCAAAATGGGCTGGAAGGCATGCTCATACCTACTTATTATGACTTCGATTATACCTACTTATTATGACTTCGATTGAGGGACCACATTGTTGATTGAGAAATTAGGTCACATTTATCATTTTGAAGAACAAAATTGGTCCTAAAGGTGAATAAGAAAGTCTTTTTTGTTTGTTTATCGGGAGAAATTATAGAATGGTATCGTATCACCACGTCAGCTGGTGATACTCTCTCTCAAAATTTGACATGTATACAACTTTTCAACGAAAAATTAAAATTTTACACTAACACCTCCTGAGGTTTCAGTTTGTTTTCACAAAATCCTTTTTCTTTGATTGTTTGCCCCAAAATTGATGATTTCATTGAAAAAAAAACCTTATGCAAATGACAAAATTAATCTCAATGAAGTATATGCAATGTAATATCAAAGGCCAACTTTTTCATACGGAGATTTTTTTTTGGATATAAAATCATCAATCTTTGGATGAAAAATCAATGAAAATGAGTTTTGTGAAAATAATTTAAAACCTCAAGCGGTGGTACTAAGTCACTCATATATCTTATCATGCAATGTATAAAGTGTAAAATATTGTAGTAAATTATTATAAATAAATGATTATGGTGTGCTTAATCTTATTTCATTAATTACTACATATTTTCTACACTCGCAGTGTTTGTCAACTCACTATAATCAACTTAAATAAGTTAAACCCATCATGCAATGCATTTCCTTCCATTTTCTGTGATAATTGACTAGATAAACATCATCCTAAGTTTCAAGAAAAATTTCCAAATTTTTCTTACAATTTTCATGATTTTTATTTAATTTTTATCGATATCGATAATATCCCGATATTTCCATACAAATTTCCATTCGACCAAATAATTTGGTGAAAACCTAAACTTGGAGCAGCTCACCAAATAATTTGGTGAACACCATTCGACCAGACTTCCTAGAGTAAGGATCGGCTGTATATATGTATATAATAAGGCTTGCAAATCCTTTGAGTGCCAACACACCGCTGGCACTACTAGGATTCCCAACTCCACTACTAGGATTCAACTCCCGGACCCAGCAAAACTGGCTGGCCCGAGGGCAGGGCTGGCCCGAGCTCCAGCCAGGGCTGGCCCGAGCTCCAGCCAGGGCTGGCCCTTACTGACGTCAGCGCTACAGTGTCCGCCAACAATTATGTGCCATGTGTCGTGTCCTGGGCTCTCCGATCATAATTTTTGCTCCAATCCAACGGCAGTCAATATTTTTGTAATAAAAATTTAAAAAAAATCCGAAAAAATTGAAAAAAAATACCAAAAAATTACTTTTTTTTCTTCTCTCTATACCTTATTTCCATTTTCAACATTTAAGTAAATGTCTTTGTCCTTTTACTTTTATTTATTTTTATATTACTCCATTTACTTAAGTTTACAATGTAAATAAGGAAGTACCCCC